AATGAAAAGTAGGGGCGCCCATGGTAATGCTGTAAGCGCACCGCACACAATCATTCTCCTTTCCCTGGTTTTATTATCCGCTAGATCTGCTTCTGTCCGTTTCAGACCCCGTCAATCATTTGGTCCACATTTCATCCAGTTCTCTAGACCTGGGCCCCGCTCGATCAACGGTTCAGATTTCTCAATATGAAAGCACCGTAACATATCTTTTTTGAGACAGTTTAAGTGTGAAATTACCTTATTGACCCCAACCATTCTCCTCTATTTCCCGTTTCCCAATGCACTCGCCCACGCACAGAGAAAGAGTAGGAGACATCGAATCAGTGAGCAGCACAAAAGCGAAGCAAATATTTCAGAGAGAGAGAGAGAGGATAAAGAAAGGTAACGAGACGACGGCGTTTTGGGGAGATGCCGTTGATCGGAGATTGTACTGACGCCGGAGAAGGTGGCGGCGGGAATGTGGTGGTAGTAGGGGTGAAGTTCGATACACAGAGCAGGGAGTTCCTGACGTGGGCTCTAGTGAAGGTGGCTCGTCCTGGTGATCGTGTCATTGCGCTTCACGTTCTTGACTCCGCTTCTGGTACTCTTTCTCTCTCTCTCTCTCTCTATATATATATATATATATATCTATCTGTCTGTACAGTGTGAAATTTGTTTTCCATTTTCGTTTTTGGTCTTTGTTTTGATTTTCGTTTGGGTTGAATTTTGTAGAGAGTACAGCTTCGCTTCTTTCTCTTGTGAAGAGCTTTGATGCTATGCTCGGTGTTTATGAAGGTTTCTGCAACTTAAAACAGGTTATGAATTTGTTTATATTTGTGGAAAATTATAATAATTAAGTACCTTAGTACTTCTCCTATGAAGCTTATCTCCTTCTGCTGTTTTTTTGGAGTTGCGAAGAAATCACTCAAAAATATGAAAGTTCAAGACTACTGCATCTCAATTCCAGTCTTTCTTTCCAAGACTCATTTGGAAACTTAATTTTGCATATACAGAGTTCTATTTTGGTGCAGAAAAAATAATTTTTTTACTTTTCGTCATTTCCAGCTATCAACATGGTCATGATTCTATCTGTTGTCCTTTATTTACTTTTTTTCCGGAATTTTGGGATGTTCATCAGTTGTGATTAGGAGTTCTGAGCCTAATAGGTGAATTGTTCAGGTCGATTTGAAGTTAAAAGTATGTAGAGGTACCTCAGTAAAGAAGATTCTGGTGAGGGAAGCGAAAGCGAGCGATGCAGCAACGATAGTTGTGGGGACTTCGAGAACACGTCATAGAATCCGTTCATCTACCTCAGTAGCAAAGTTCTGCGCAAGGAAGTTGCCCAAGCAATTTTCAATTTTTGCTGTTGATAACGGTAAAATCGTGTTCCAGAGGGAAGCGACTCTCAGGAAAATTGATTGTCCGCAAGGTTGTTGATTTTTTCTCGCCATCTGGGTTCCATTTTATTTATTTCAGTCAAAAGAAGAGTGATAATGTGTGAGCATCTTTTTCGGGATTAGTGTCTATGATTTGGTATTGGGAGATTTTGGATTTTGATTTGAGAACTATGTTCATGTCTCAAGTTCTGTCTTGTGATCCCTGAGCAGATACTTCGAACAAAACTCTCATCAGCTTAGCTCGTGCGAAGAGCGTGAAAGCATCAAAATCTGCAGGGGAGGTGAACTTGGGAAGTACGGATTGCTCTAAGATAACCAGCTTGGAGTGTGGGGCGAAGAAGAACTGTGGTGCCCGTACTCAATCCTCAGTATTGCAAGATACTTTCAACAATGAGTTATGGAAAGAATTAAATGAAGAGTATGTGGACAATTCATTAGCTTTGGTGCCAGTTGAAACGAGGGAGGTTGATTTGGATTCAAGTTCCATTGTGGTAATGCAGTTGCCCACGTCAAAATCTCGTTGGCCTTTTATTCGCAGGGTATTTCTCCCTAAGCCACGAAAGTGGGAGAAATCATCTGCAAAGAAAATGTCTGTGGTTCAGTGGGT